GATAACCAAGGTAGTGAATGCTGCGCGAGCCCCTCCACACTTGCTCCGTGCAGCCCGGGCTAATCCAGCCTTCTCCCCATTCCGTGGTGGGCGCAGCTCCTCCATTTCCTCTACATCTACTATCTGCCTTTCTAATTCCGTCTTCTCGCGTGGTCGCTGCAACGCGCGACCCCTCTGTCGCAAAATGGGGAAGCTCATCCGACTTGAGCTTTTTAGTATGCAGAACCTCATCTGATTGAGCCCCCATGCCACCCACTAACCTCCGCATCAGACTTCAAATCTTACAAGGGTCACCACACCCTTCTCTTCGGAGATGCGTACTTCACATCCATCATCGGGCCCAACGGGTCCGGCAAATCGAACTCGTGCGTTTTCCCGCCCACCTCGGAATGAACACCTCCGCGGAACATGCATCGCGAAGGGAAGTGTGTGCTGACAATCGATCAGGATGGATGCGATCTCGTTCGTTCTCGGTATCAAATCATCTCATCTGCGATCTACGAATCTCCGCGACCTAGTCTACCGCGGTCGTGTCCTGCGGACATCCAAGGTGGATGCGAACGGCAATGCCATCGACGGGGCGGCGGACGGGGAGGAACAGCCCGAAGACGAGATCGACGGCGAACAGTCCCAGGACCCGACCGGATCGAGTGACCCGCGGACCGCATGGGTTATGGCGGTGTACGAGGACGATGCGGGCGAGGAACAGCAATGGCGGCGGTCGATCACCAGCGGGGGTGTCAGCGAGTACCGCATTAACAACCGCCCGGTCACTGCGCAGCAGTACAACGAAGCGCTCGAGGCCGAGAACATCCTGATCAAGGCGCGCAACTTCCTCGTCTTCCAGGGTGACGTCGAGGCCATCGCATCGCAGTCCCCCAAAGACCTGACGCGGTTGATCGAGCAGATCTCGGGCAGTCTGGAGTACAAGGCTGAGTATGAACGTTTGAAAGCGGAGGCTGAGGAGGCGGCGGAATCACAGACCGTGCAGCTCAACCGCCGCCGGGGCATCAACTCGGAGATCAAACAGTACCAGGAACAGAAGCGGGAAGCGGAGAACTACGCCAGAAAGGCCGAGGAACGCGATCAAGCGATCATCACGCACATTCTGTGGAAGCTCTTCCATTTCCAGCGCCTGATCGACGCATCCAGTGCTGATATCCTGAAGTACCAGGATGAGCTGAAGGAGTTCCGCCGCGGTGTTGAGAAGTACGAGAAGAACGTCGAGGACGCGAAGAAGAGCCACGCCATGGTCGGTCGGGATGTCGCCAAGGCGGAGAGGAACATTGTCAAGAAAGAGAAGGACATTGAAGAGGCCGCCAACGCCCTCGTCCCTGTTGATGAGAAGGTCGATATCACCAGGAAGAAGGTCGACCGCTTTGCTTCTCGTATCACAGAAATTACCCGCGAGAAAGACACTCAGTCGGCGAATGTGAAACAACTGGAGAAGGATCTCAAGGTCGTCGACAAGGCGCGGGCCCAGTGGGAGTCAGAATGGCAGAAGACTATGAGCAAGCAGGGTGGCCAGCTCAGCGAGGCTGACCTGCAGGAGTACGAAAAGCTCAAAGAAGAGGTCAGTAAGAGATCGTCTGCTGAGCAACTGAACCTCGACAATCTGCGCCGTCAGCGGAAGACCGAAGCCGAAGGCCTGAACAGCCTCAAGAGCAAATTCGAAGGGGCCGATTGGCAATTCAAGACCTTGGAATCTGAGACGCAGACCTTGGCCCAGCGCAAAACTTCCCTCAACGATACAGTCAAGACAACTTCCAAGGAGATTGACCGCAAGAAGAAGGAACTCAATGCTGTGACCTCTGAACGCCTGCGTGTATCTCGGATGCGAACGGAATTGGAGGAAAAGTTGCAGGTCGTCCTGAAGAAACTTCTTGACGCAGATGATGGGAGGAAGCAGTCGGAGAGAGAAATCAGAGCCAAGGAGCTGATTTCGACCCTCAAGCGCATTTTCCCGGGAGTCAAGGGCCGCGTCAGTGACCTTTGCAAGCCCAAGCAGAAGAAGTACTCCGAGGCAGTTAGCACTGTCCTGGGTCGGCACTTTGACGCGATTGTTGTCGACAACGAGAAGACAGCGAAGGAGTGCATTCAGCACCTTCGCGACCAGAGAGCCGGCCAGGCCACCTTCATCCCACTCGAGACAATCCAGGTCAAGGCCTTTAACTCGAACCTCAAGGGCCTACACCGCGGAATGCGTCCGGCCATCGAGACCGTCGACTATGACGACTCGGTTGCCAGAGCTATTAGCTACGCATGCGGAAACGCAATCGTCTGCGATGATTTGGCGACTGCCAAATATCTCTGCTATGAGAGGAACGTGGATGCCAAGGCCGTCACGCTCGACGGCACCGTGATTCACAAGGGCGGTTTGATGACCGGTGGTAAAGGGCCTCAGCAGCACTCCAAGCGCTGGGAAGACTCTGAGGTGGAAAATCTGTACAAGCTCAAAGACAAGCTGTTGGCTGATCTTGCCAACCTACCCAAGGGTCATCGCCGCGGCACCGAAGAGGAGACGCTACAAGGTGACTTGGTAGGCCTGGAGCAACGGCTTGCCTACGCTCGGGACGAGCTCAAAGCACTCGAGAGAAACCTCGAAAGCAAGCACAGCGAATTAGAATTCGTTAGAAGTCAGCTCGAAGAAATGCGACCGAAGCTGTCTGAGCGCGAAAAATTGCTACAGGACCTCGATAAAACTATCGCAGCATCTCAACAGAAGGTCAGCAGTGTAGAGGACGAAGTGTACAAGAAATTCTGCAAGCGCTTGGGCTATGCCAACATCCGCGAGTACGAAGTTCAGCAGGGATCGTTACAGGAGGAGGCAGCTCAAAAGAAGCTCGAGTTCACGACGCAAAAGAGCAGGATTGAGAACCAGCTAAGCTTTGAGAGGCAACGACTGCAGGCTACGATCGACCGCGTTGCTAGCCTTCAGGCACAGTATCAACGTGACGAAGAGCTGATCCAGGAGCTTGAGGCCGAACAGGAGCGCATCAGAAACCAAATGGATGAGTACAATGCTGAACTTGACGTTCTTCGAGAACGGCTCGAGGAGCAGAAGGAGGCATATGCTCAATCGGCGGAGAACCTGACACATCACCGTAGGGAGCTCCAAAAGCGCACCAGAGAAGTTGAGGGCACTTTGAAGAATGTCAATGCCCTTGAGGCAGAGATACAACGCAACTCGTCCAGTCGATACGCTCTTCTCCGGCGGTGTAAGCTGGAAGATATCGATATCCCACTGACAGAAGACTCCAACCCCCTCGATCAGCTTCCCATTGATGATCTGATGCAAGCAGCGGATCCAGACGCCATGGACGTGGATGAAGACGCCAACGGGGTCGGAGACGCTTTCACCGTCCAGGACTATGGCATCGAGGTTGACTTTGACTCTCTTGGAGACACCCTCAAAGAGGTAGGTTACTCAGCGTCAGACTTACAATACTTCCCACTGATTCAATGATAGGAGGATGACGAGAAGCTTGAAGAAGAACTGCTCGAGAAGGTCCGGTCTATCAACAGCGAGCTGGACAAGATGGCACCTAACACACGCGCTATGGAGCGGTTGGAGAGCGTGGAGAACAAGCTTCGAGCCACGGAGAAGGACTTCGAAGATGCCCGGAAGCGTGCTCGGAGGGCGAAGGACGAGTTCGAAGATGTGATGCGCCAGCGGTCAGATCTCTTCAACAAAGCCTTCTCTCACATCTCCGAGCAAATTGGCCCGATTTACCGCGAATTGACGAAGAGCGCAAACTACCCACTGGGCGGCCAAGCGTAAGCCCGACTGGAGCCCCTTCCATTCGACCCTATGCTAACAGAGTGGTGCCGCCTAGTTATCTGGACATCGAAGACTCGGACGAGCCCTACCTCGACGGTATCAAGTACCACGCCATGCCTCCGCTGAAGCGTTTCCGGGACATGGAACATCTGTCCGGTGGCGAGAAGACTATGGCCGCTCTGGCTTTGTTATTTGCGATTCACTCCTATCAGCCGTCTCCCTTCTTCGTGCTGGACGAAGTCGATGCCGCCCTCGACAACACCAACGTTGCTCGCATCGCCAACTACATCCACGACCACGCAGCTCCGGGCATGCAGTTTATCGTCATCAGTCTGAAGAACGGACTGTTCCAAAACAGTGAAGCCCTAGTTGGAATCTACCGAGATCAGGTGGAAAACAGCAGTAAATCTCTGACTCTTGATGTGAGAACCTAGCTTTTCCCAGACCTTATTCAGATACTAATTGACTCCGTTCGTGCAGCTCCGTAAATACAACTGAATGATGATTCGGAAAGACTGGGTGGAATGGACTGGGCTACCTGACTCTCGTGTGATGTGTAGAATATATCATTCTCTTGTGGTCATGTTTTTCTTTGATGAGCAAAATGGTTTTAGCTATCGTGCAACGGATTAATGGGAATTTTCTTTCTGCTTTTCTGATCTTCACCCTGGTCCGTTTCCTAGAACCAACGCTTCGACCTTACTCCGATCACGGAGAGAAGTCCGGATCTTACGACACCAGCCAGCCAGTATCGACAGCAGAGCTGCTCTCGCAAGTGAACCAACCTTAAAGATCGTCCCTCCCACCCCCACCATCCCCGCAGCCCCTTTCATCTCCAGCTCTCTTTAATCCCTGACCCCCGGAAAAATTCCGTGCTCAACTCCGCCAATAAATCCCTAATGATCCTGATGAAGTTACATCTCACTTACGTTCGTTGCAGGCGAGCCAATGGCCTCCTCCTCCTCCTCCTCCTCCTCCTCCTCCTCCTCCTCCCCGTTCAATAACCGCTGAGCTGCACAGGATGCAGTGATATATATACCCCCGAACCGTAGACGCAAATGTCCCACTCAAATCCGACGTACAGTCCATGTACATACCAGGATCCACTACAACTCTTCCCGGGTGGCACATGCAGTTCTGTCTATACACATAGACAAACTATACCTCGGATACCTCGTATGCTATCCTCTAGGACCGGGCGATATCGACACCAGCAACAATGATCCTCCATCGTCAGCGTCAGTTGCTCACAGCAGCCCTAGTGGTGCTGCGCACTACCGTAACCGCAGCTCCTACTGTCACAGCGCCTAACAACTCTTCTTCTATCGTCGTCGTGAGCCAGTCCGTTCCCGAATCCGCGGGTCTGCCCGTTTTGCATCCGTTTGTGTCGTTCTCGATTGAGTTCGTCTTCTTTCCGGATTATGCGGGTATGCTTTTCTTCCCCTTTCCTATTCTTTTGTAGGGTTGTGTAGCATGATTGGGGAAAGGATAAGTTACGCAATTGTTTATGTTGTTAAGGGGTGGGGATGATTGAGGTGGTGTATACAACGAGAATTGAAGACTGAAACCAGGTGATTCAAGGAAATCGATCTCATCCGAATACCTTCTCGAACAACTTGTTGGATAATTTGGCCGAGTTAGAGGGAGTCAAGCCCTTTATCCGGGTGGGAGGGATTACGCAGTAAGCAGTTTGCCCTGCATCTGTTTAGGTATTGGTTGTTGACACAACTGAAGAGACTTCGCCCTCTACGACCCGACCCTCCCCACCGCGACAAACGGCACCTACGTGCCTAGCATCAGCACCGACTACCCCCTGATCCTGACGATCGGGCCCTCGTACTTCGAATCTTACTCGACCTGGCCGGGGGCGCGGTTCATCCACGGCTTCAACCTGGGCCGCAACACCTCGGCGCAGTTCGCGCAGCTGCTGGAGACGGTGCCGGTGGTGTGCGCGGCGCTGGCCGGGGGCAAGCTGGCCTACTGGGAGCTGGGCAACGAGCCCGATCTCTACAAGACCTCGGCGCAGGGGGCGGTGCGGCCGCCCTCCTGGACGGAGCGCGACTACGTGAATGAGTGGGTAAACAAGACGACGGCCATTCAGCAGAAGATGCGCGCGTCGTGTTCCGGGGATTTCGCTGACGCCAAGTATATCGCGCCGTCGTTTGCGGGGGTTTCCAATAGTCTGAACCCCGTGGTGACGTGGGAGAATGGACTCGGCAGGAAGGGCAATATCGCGCTGAATTCGGAGCATAAGTGCGTCTCTCTCGTTTTTGTGCTGTTTTGCTGTTCGCTCGATGTGTGTGGGAGGTAAATTTGCCTGCACTTGTACGGAGTACTGACAAGAAGTTTGGCATAGTTACATTGGCGGCGCCACGCAACCGGGCGTTACACTGCAGAAGACACTAATGAACCATACGATGACGGTCCAGAGCGTCGCGCAGCATGTCAATGTCTCGACCATCCTGCTCCAAAAGAACCTGACCACGGATATCCCGTATATCCTGGGGGAGACCAATTCCTTGTACAACGAAGGCGCGTCGGGGCTCTCCAATTCGTTCGGTGCGGCGCTCTGGGGCGTCGACTTCAACCTCTACTGCGCATCGCAGAACATCCGACGAACCCACATGCACCAGGGCCGCGACTTCCGCTACGCCTCCTGGCAGCCGGTCGACACCAACAGAACCACCATTGGCACCAAGGCGCCCTACTACGGCAACGCCATGGTGGCGGCTATGCTCCACGGCGGCGAGGGCGGCGAGAAGGATGATGTCCAGATCGCCAACCTTCCGCTGGAGCAGGACACCGAGGCCGCATATGCCGCGTACGTGAACGGTGCCTTGGCCCGGATTGCTGTCATCAACCTGGTGGAGTTCAATTACACCGGGTCGACGACGGGCAGCAGCCAACGACACAACGCATCTTATGTTTTCCAAGTGCCCTCAGCTGCTGCTGGTACAACTGTCTCAGTGCAGCGGCTGATAGCCAACGGTAGTGACGCTATCACGGGGATCACCTGGGATGGGTGGTCGTACAATTATGAACTGAACAATGGAAAGCCTGTGCGTTTGGCAAACATCACGGCCGGGGAGGCAGTTCCTGTTGGCAGAGACGGAACAGTGAGCATCGAGGTTCCTTATTCGAGCGCTGCTCTCTTGACGTGGTAGGAGTCAGGCTTTCAGATGGTCAATGCAGGATGGATGGTTTTCCAAGAGGGGTTGCTCTTCAGATTGTCAAGCATGGCAAAGCAGGCTGCCGCGTTTGCAGCAGCCTTATAGCAAGCACTGGGAAGGTGTGCATCGTTGCAGAGAATAGGACATTAGGCTCTCAACAGGGGCTCGCGTGTCTCATGATGCTAAGCCACGTCCTGTCGAGCTGGAGCTGTTGATTCATGTTCACCAAGTTACCCTGTATTCCTCGTAACTTACCTCGGGATACACCACATCCACCCGTTCTCCTGATTTCGTGGCCCACTTCCGTAATGCATTCAGACTGATGTACGGAGTGACGGACTCCGTTCTGCCAGCCGATCAGTAGAGGCAAGCACGTCCACCATCGTGATCATCGACCTCCGCCGAGCTTTGACGTCAAAGGCCCGCCCATCATGTTTCAAAGCCATGGAGAAGGCAATGGGGTGGGGTTCCTGGTCGATCCAAGACCAGACCGAAGTTTCGGAGCATTTAGCCCCAATCCCAGTAAGGCAGAAGTCAATAGTCAATTCCGAATGAGCTAAACATAACATGATTCCTATCAGTAGTGAGTCGTCGCTGAAAGCCCAGCCACGGCGGGACGTGAGCTTGTGTGGAGTCAATAGTCAGTTTTATCCCGTATCCTCCGTTGCGTGGAAAAGGGAGTCGACAGATCAAATGATCGGTGTACAGAAAACTCTAAGTCCGGATTAGTGGTACGATATGTAAACTTGGAGCCACAGACCTGGCTATGGCATTGCTGGATAGACTTTGAAGGACGGACGGATGCCTTAGCGGTGGGCCACAAAAGGCACAGCTCGATTAATCACTTTTCTTCCTGCAGCGGATTATCCACCGGTAGAGGAGTGAGTCCCCGTCACGAACCGAACGACAGGTCACTTCTGCATAATCTTGATCGCTTATGAATCGGCTTGGCAAGTCATTCCAGCGCCATGGCAGGAATGATCATGACACATGGCACTGTCATTATTTGCAAGGGATGTGGTCTTTTCACTTGGCCCGTGTGAAGAAGCAGTGAGTGCTCAGATCCCGAATTCTGCAAGCCACTATGTCGAAATTCCTGGAAGAATACACTCCCGCATAATTCTGTACGGACGGGGATGTTTTGCTGGCTGCAGGTCTCCCGTAACGGCAATCGCGTTCTACGCCCTTGGTGAGAGGGAAAAGGGTGTTGGGAAAGATTTGGAAGCTGCGCCTGAAAGAGAGAGTGGCAATTTGTTTGCTTGGAAATGAAGAAGACGAAGAAGGTTGAATTTGTTGCCAACTTTCCCCGCACCCGAGTCAAGACGGCCGTTACTTGCCTACTTACTTAGTAGTGGAGTCACTTAACTTGTCTTCCCTGTTGCATCATTCATTGACTTTTCCCGATTGAGTGACTGCAACAGTAGCTAGTACGCAAGTCGATCGGCAATCAGCTTTCCAAGGGAGCTCTATGTTTGCTACCTCCCCTGAGCGTTCTGACTGCAGGATCGGTGAAAATGCTTGGAGCCAATCGTCATAGTCGGATGCCAGATTCGCGATTGCCGTTGCATTGATTGTTCGCCAGAAACAATGCAATTGAAGGCAACTGAATGCTATTCAATTCGTGTCCCTGGGATTTCCTCTTTGGTCAATTCGAAGAGCACTCTGAAGAGTGATATGGAGGGTAAGATCTGAATCGACCGACATACAAGCTCGAGATCGCACAAGCCTATCAGGAAACTGAGGACTGTTCTGTGCGCCACTAAGGGACATTGCGTTACAGTTTGAAACCTTGTTGCTGAGCCAGTCATGAAAGCGACTGGAAAAAAAAGTATCAGTGCGATCAGCGGTCAGGCTATGGGCTCGCTCTGACACCCAGGTACAGTGGGCTACGCCCAACCTCCGCAATAAGCGCACTAGCTTCTAGGGCAGAGATTAAATCGAAACCATCGGCGAAGTTAAACCAGAGAGGCCTGAAGCATGGAATCATTCCAACTGGTGGAAAGCCGAAGTCAAAGTCGGTCAACTTTCACTCTAGCAATACTATTCCCGTACGAAGATAGTAACTTGCCGCAGCACCAACATGCCACAAGGATGGCAGCAATTGACAGTAGTAGCCTATCATCAACTTCCGATTATGGGTTCCGAGTACTTTCCGAAGCCATGTGATCTTCGCTGCTTGAAATAGCGAATTAGCTGCTGGTTGATGCAGGAAGTATGGGTTCGACATCAGCTGCGTACGCCATTGGCGTCGCAAATATCAGCAAAATAGCCAAATTAGATGATCATTGGACAAGACGCTTGTCTCTCTTACATTTACATTGTGAACATTGGGGTCAAGCGTACTCGTCGATCGAAGTTTGTGATGAAGTGCCGGTTAGGTAGTTAGAGACAGTTCCTTCAAAACTCGTAACCCTGTTCTGAACCTTCAGGGCCGTTTGCCTGTGCGACTGTACTCATATTGGAGGTTCTGGCAGTTTTGCGGCCAGGCATGCTCGCTTTCCAAGCTGCAAATCCACAGCCAGGTTGCCTCCGAGGTAGACCTCGCTGTGCCATGCGCCGTTGGCGCGACCTCACAAAATATTGATAGTATGCTTCTGCATGATGCAGTAGGACAAATACAACCATTTGAGATTACCAGATAGAGTCTTAGTTTGGGCGTCGGGAGCAGCTGAGGCAGCGATATGCAATTTTAGATGACACAAAACCGGGAATTTGGAGGCAAATTATGAAAGTAAATTCATAATTTCATCAGGCACCATACTCGCACCAGGATTAGGCTATAGTATGCGGAGCACCACAAAGTCTTGTGTGCAATAGTGCCTGGCCTCTGCCTGGCCTCTGCCTGTGGGTATTTGTTATCCTTGCATTAGTTTTGCACGTCAGAACCGCCACCAGGCTGGGTTAAACCCCACTGACAGGGTCGAGTGTAATTCAATGTTGACACAGGTACTTTTGTTCGGGCCTCGTATTACCTTCGATCGTCAACCCCGATGGGAAGTTTCAGTCGGCGCCTTCGCCGCGATACATGGTGGTTGCGCGCACCTATATAACCTGTTGCCCGAGACCTAGAGAATCGAGCTTAAGATACATCTCAAGCTACTTGCTACCTCGGAGCTTCTCTTCGTCAAGAAATACCGGCATCTGCTGGCGCAATAGCATAGTCTCCAAGTTTTTTGAGTGGGCCGCTTTCATTTATACACATAGACAACCGGCGTCATTGGACGCAGTGACCCTTGTATCTTGAAGGGTATGACAAGTCCAAACTGTGAAGAGGTTGCAACAAATCGGCTGATGGAAGCTAAAGGGTCGGACCGTGAGCATCTGCTGTCATCCCACAATATGACTGCTCAGTCGAGCCACACGGTAAGGGATTATCCCAACCCGCCGGAGAAACGATGGGTCATCTGACTTATGACATGTTGTGCATAGGACATGCAACGTTTGGCATCTGCTTTGCGCTGCTCCCATTATGCGGTGCTGTATATCGACCATAGTGGACAGCTTCGCTCCGAAGGGTCCCCTTCCATTGCAGGGGGCGAGAGAGAAATCTTCACAGAGGAGGTGCAGGGGAGATTTCTGAGGTCCGTGGCCTCAGCATGGCAGCTGAATACGAGTAAGTCAGAGGTCCGTCTGTTGGGAGAAGGAACGCATCAGTAATGAATAGGTGTGTTCCGAGCAGGCGACCCTTTAGGTCACATGTCCGGAGATGAAGCGGCGGCGGCAGCTTACTCTTCCTCTTCCTCTTCCTGGTCCCATCACCCAGCCACAGCAAGGCCTACCGGACTCATACCCTGTGACTTGGTGTCCTTGCGTTTCAAGCGTCCCCGAAGGAGCTTAAGACAGACTGATTCCGCCTCGGCTCTGGGTTCGACTTCAGAAAATGAGCAGAGCTCAGCAACAAGAGCAACAATCCTCCGACTTGGGGACACTGAAACCCTCCGGCACTACTACGAAAGGGCCTTCGACAAATTCCAGCAGTTGAACTGCAGAGTGGTTGCGAAAGCTTTCATCAAACTAGTAGAGCCCCGCAAGCAGGTCAATCATCCGTATAACGGCCGACGAACGTCGGCATCTGCGTCACAGAGGATGGACCCAGAGCTAACCAAGCCCAACTGGTGGCCGGCTGGGGTGACACATAAAGAGCCCGACCACCTGTTCAAGCCTGGTGAGATCAGACTCTAATGCTATGACCGCTGTTGTAATGCTAACACCTTATGATCATAGAGCGGATCAAGTTGCTTGTGCACATCCTGTGTAATCTGAAAGACAGTAAAGGAATTACAGCTGAGAAACTCCAGGAGGCAGGCCAGGACGTGAAACGTCAGATTGAGCCTACGAAGCGGCAAGATGTCTTAGACGAGATCTTCTATGTCCGGAAGATGGAAGAATTATATTTGGACGGAAAGATCAGTACGTTACAGCCGGAATTACCCCTGACACACTCGGATTGAACCAGAGACTAACAATATGATACAGGTGGTGACACGACAGTGCGCGTCTTTCATGCTCACCTTGCTGATCAATGTCATGTCCCTGAGCTGCAGGAGACGACAAACGACTCTCGCTCTGTTGTTGAAACTATTCGCAAGCCTATTAAACGATACACTCCAGATTCAGAGAAGATAGCAGATGCTGCGGAGCGGAGTTTAGACAGTGATCATTCCCAGAGATTGTTCCAGTCAAGTGACAGGAGTCCATCGCTTTCGGAAAAGGGCTCAGCAAGCCCGAGTGCTTGCTTCTCCCTCTCTCCGGCGTCATCTTCGACAATCAGCCGTGCAGTTTCTCTGGAAAACAATTTGTCAAAAGAGCCAGCTGACGTTGCTGGTACCTCAAAGTCAAATAGAGACCCTGGCGCGTTTAGAGACATCCAATCCACAGTGTCTCAGAGCTTGCCAGAATACTTCGCCCAGCAAGTGGCACATCCGCCTAGTGGCCAGAGTGCCACTTCGAGCTATTGGGCCACTCTTCCATACAATGGTTACTGATCACTGACGTTAGAACGGGCGGAAGCTCTTCTAGTGGGTGTTGCATGTATCACAAGCTTGCCCTCATGATGAAGTCTGTGCCTTCCCGTTGCCTTGCTGCTTTCTTCTCGACACTCCTTTGTCTGCTGTATTTCTGCGGGGACCACCATTGATCTAGGGGCGTTGTTTGTACTGCAAGGGTGTATATACATACACATCAGGGATTATTAGAGAACTATGTAATGATATGATCAAGACAACAGCACTCTGTTCCTCGAGCTGTAGTATAGCCTTGTCCGCGCATCGTAGAGACTAGTCCGATAATCGACCTGGCCTGATCAAGACATATGACACTGTTCAACCGAATGTTTGCCAGCTTCACTCTGCCTGAGGCAGGAAGGATTTCGGGGGTTGAGAAGCCATGTGGGGACAGGCACTTTGGCTATTGGTTTGGTGCGGGCCGTTGGACTCCACTGCATCCGATCATCCATGGATTCCATCGACGCGGTGGGCAGCCTGAGGCTGCAATCCAACAGACTCGCCCGGGCCAACCAGCTACGTCAACGCGTGCACACACAGATTCCCATCCTTCTCACTTGCTCTTAACTCCCCCATCTTCTTTCTCTTCTTCCTCCTCAAGACCCTTGGATCAACATCTGCCGCTACGGTCATGCGCCTTGAGTACTGAAGCACACTGGCTGGACTCCTCATCAAAATTCTCCTCCGCATTCACTTATTGGATCGTTAGTACGACCATACCTTATCAGTTTCCCCGATCCTAGGTGCACATCATCTGCCGCCTCCTATCAGTATGTCAATTGCTCGTGCATTTTTCCACCATGCCCCATTCAATAAATACCCTCTACCCCATACTTTCACCCCGGTCTTCACATCTCTACCATCACTTGCACCTTTGCGTATTGTTCGGAAGATTTGGGATCACAGCCAGCCAAGATGGGAATGCTAAGTATAGGTCGTTTTCTCAGCCGGCCTTATCCACACAACCGTGACGGCCCTACGATTTTCTCGTTCGAACAGAGACTCATGATGGAGGAAGGCAGTGGATCCTCCGACTTCAGAAAGACAGAGTCGCTAGTCAGCGGTGACTCTCCTACCCTTCAGGCCGCGATGGCCGAAGAGCTATCCGACGCGGACGAAGCTCCAGGAACCCCCGATACCTTCTACTCACCGCCAGCTTCACCTGGTCGACTTTCGCGCAACCCCTCCTTCTCCTATCATGATGACTGGGAAACGTTTCCGGCGCTGGACCAGCTCAGTGTCTTCGATCTGCTTGACAATTTCTCTCTATCCCAGAGGCTGGAGAAGCTGCAGCAAGCTTTGAATGCACAGAAGGCGAAGGTTCAGAAGCAGCGCGAGAAACTCAAGTCATCCTCTCTGAACGCTAAGGAACGCGTTGTGGACGAATGGAAAAGAAGGGTTCCGACAGCCGATGAGCGGCTTGACAAGTATCGTCGGCGCATGAAGAATGGTGTGGAGAGACTGGGCAAGCAATGGAACGCAACCGCAACTGTGACCCTTCGCGAAAAGATCTCCTTCATAGCCGGTGTCCTCAATATCTTTGTCAGTGGCTATCTTCTCGGAGGGTGGCCAGAGTGGTTCTACATCTGGTTCAGCGCACAGTTGGCCTATTTCATGCCTATTCGGTACTATGGTTACCATAAGCGAGGCTACCATTACTTTCTCGCCGATTTGTGCTACTTTGTCAATATGCTCTGCATGCTGAGCATCTGGGTCTTCCCCGGCTCAAAGCGACTGTTTATCAGCACCTTCTGTCTGACGTTTGGCAATAATGCGGTTGCTATTGCCATGTGGCGGAACTCTATGGTATTCCACAGTATGGACAAGGTAGTCAGGTAAGCGCTCTCTCGCCATCCCCCATCTCATCGGAACGCCTGCTTAGCTAACTTCATAGTCTGTTCATCCATATAATGCCACCGGTGACTCTGCATTGTCTGGTCCACTTGACATCTGCCGCTACTTTGAAAGCAAGATTCCCGGCTATCTATGCCATCAAGTTCAGCGAGCCCGGATCTCCAGACCATTTCACACTCCTCGAAATGATGGGATGGGCAACTGTACCATACATGATCTGGCAAGCTGCCTATCACTGCTTTATCACGGTCCGACGCGCGGAGAAGATTGCTGCCGGGCGCCCGACCAGCTTTACCTGGCTCCGCAAGTCCTATGCAAAGACCTGGTTAGGCAAATTCGTCCTGAGCCTCCCTGAATCACTGCAAGCCCCCGCTTTCATGCTGATTCAATATTTCTACGCGATTCTAACGATGATCCCGTGCCCTCTTTGGTTTTGGTCTCGGTGGGCCAGTGGAGCTTTCCTCACCGCTCTCTTCATTCTTAGTGTGCACAACGGTGCCACATATTACATTGACATCTTTGGCAAGCGCTTCCAGAAAGAGCTGGAGGAACTCAAGAAAGATGTAGCTCGGTGGCATTCGTCTCCCGAGGGAGCAATCAGCCCAATGCTGCTACCGTCTGATCAGGGCGCATCTTCTGCCGATAAGGCCCACGTCGAGTCGACTACCGCCGGAAGCGCTGAGCCCAGCAAGGCTAGCATTGATGCAATCCCTCTTCTGGATGCCCCTGCGGCTTCTACTGGCGTTGAGAGCGCTGCAGTTCCCAGCACCGACTCCACTGTGCGGGAACGATCGTGATTCTTCTATCTATGCGAAGGGTTTACTTTTTACTCTATGGTCTTGGTGGTTTTACTTGCACATTCTCTGGGGCTGTGATCGCATTTTGAATGGCTCCAACACGATACCCAACTCGATAGTCGTTCCTTCCCTTTCTACACTTGGAGCAATGCTGGATTAGCCTGATTTTAGTTGACTATGTAGTTAGTTATGCGTCTTGATATAGCCATTAGATAGAGTGGAAGTTGTTCTTATGATGACTTGAATGAATTTCTTTTGAAGCTAATGACATATTTTAATTTCCCTTGGAATCTGCATGAGTGCCCGGGCTCTGACTCACCAGTGGACAATTAGTTCTCCGAAATACTCGCAGGAAGGCGGACTCGCTCGCCGGCGGGATTAGGAAGAGACGGACGGGACTGCGAGGCGGAGCTCCCGATTGGGCGGCGACAAAATCCATTTTATCCCCGAAGACCGGAGGGGTCACGTGAAGTAGCCACCTCTGCTCCAGACCTTCGCCGACGACACTACGACGACAAACTTCCCTCCCCGAGTTCCAAACTATTATCGCCTCTGATTATACCTGTGTGTTTCGCTGTGATTACAGACTACTCTCTGATCTCGCATTGCTGTGCATATCTGTTGCCCTCGCTCGTTGCCCCGAGCTTCTCGATTTTCTAGATTTCCGCCATGTCCGTCACATTGAGGTCAGCTAGCCTTATGCGCGGCAGTGGTGCGCTGCGCTCAAACCTGGTCGGTATGTATCCAGCTTTTTGTTCTTGAGCGGGTCAGTCCGGCAGCAAGGTATACTTGCTAGTGAACAATGTGATTGCTAATCCCGATGTGATGCGTCTCTAGTCCGACCGCGTTTGACCGGAGCGTTGGCTGCGAACACCGCCGCAAACCTCCGCCTCAACGGCAGAGGACTGCCATCCCACATCTCGGCCCTTGCGATCCTCGTCCCACACCAGCGCGGCTATGCCACCGAGCCATCCTCTTCCACATCGTCTTCCTCTGACCCTCTCCCTCCCCCCGGCTTCAATGCCGAACAAGCCAAGAAGCCGCTCGCTGCGGAGCAGCAGCAACAGCTCGCCAGCAGCAAGGGTACCGCTCAACAGGTGGTTCCTGCGTCCGAACAGTCCGTCACGGCCCCTGCCAAGACATCCGGCACGGAAACCTCGAGTGAATTGACGACGGCCAAGAGCACGGATGCCGACAAGAAGACCGATGAGAAGAAGGAGACGAAGAAGTTGACGCTCGGCCAGAAGATCAAGAAGGAAGCCCAGCACTACTGGGACGGTACGAAGCTTTTGGCCACCGAGGTCAAGATCAGTTCTCGCCTTGCGCTGAAGATGGCTGCGGGCTACGAACTCAGCCGGAGAGAGCACCGCCAGGTGAGTACTGCAGCAAGATTTCGCGGCCGGCCTTTTGGTTGTTGTGCGGTCAGGGAGACACGCCTTCGCTGATTCAGCCTTTCATTCAAAATAGCTTCGCAGAACGGTGTCCGATCTGGGACGTCTGGTTCCATTCTCCATGTTCGTGATCATCCCCTTCGCCGAATTGCTGCTTCCGGTCGCCCTGAAGCTCTTCCCCAACATGCTGCCCAGCACCTACGAGGGCCAGAAGGGCCGCGAGAAGAAGGCGCTGAAGCTCAGCTCCACCCGGAAGGAGGTCTCAGGCTTCCTGAAGGACACCCTGCGGGAATCGGGTCTCCCCGTGACGGCGGCGACGGTGAAGAACGAGGAGTTCACCGAGTTCTTCAAGAAGATTCGGACCACGGGCGAGTCCCCGACGCCGGAGGACGTGATCAAGGTGTGCAAGATCTTCAAGGATGACCTGACGCTGGACAACCTGTCGCGGCCGCAGCTGGTGGGCATCTGCAAGTACATGAACCTCAACTCATTCGGCACGGACGCGATGCTCCGGTACACAATCCGTCACCGCATGCGCCAGATCAAGCGCGACGACCGGGCCATCTTCTACGAGGGCGTGGAGTCGCTGTCCGTGCCCGAGCTGCAGATGGCGTGCGCCTCCCGCGGCATCCGCACGCACGGCGTCTCCCCCGCCCGCCTGCGCGAGGACCTCTCCGTCTGGCTGGACCTGCGCCTGAAGCAGGGGGTCCCCTCCACGCTCCTGGTGCTGAGCAACGCCTACGTCTACGCCCAGGGCGGTAAGGAGGCCGAGATGTCCACCCAGATCGAGGCCCTGCAGTCAGTCCTGTCGAGCATCCCCGAGGAGCTCTTCCACGAGATCGAGCTCGAGGTCCACAACGCCGAGGGCGCCGCCACCAACAAGCAGCGCCTGGAGGTCATCAAGGAGCAGCAGGAGCTGATCGAGGAGGAGAACAGCCAGAACAGCCAGAACGAGGAGAAGGGCGTCTCCGCGCCCCAGGACATCGAGGACATCGACGACGACAAGGATGAAGTCAAGTACCGCTCGCGCTCGCAGGCCTCCGAGGCCTCCGAGGCCGTCAAGGAGGGCGACCGCGTCGAGGAGAGCCCTGCCCAGGAAGCCGCTGCCGCTGCCAAGGAGGAGAAGAAATAAAGGCTATTCTCCACGCCGAATTCTCTTTGGATCTGTTTTTTGTTGTAGGCGTTGCTTTCGAAATTTGATGACCCTCTGTGACATATAGACATATTATTCTACTTTTATTTTCTACTCCTGTGTTAGTTAGTGCTTATATGATAGACTCCCTACTGAACCGCCATGTTTGGGTGCTGTATAGGGTGCCAGCACTGTACAATTGCTGATCAGGGTACAAAGCAGCTTTACATGAGGACTTCTGATGTTCAAAAGTGATGGAGCGAGCAACGCAGCTGCTGGCAGCTGGGGAGCTCTACTCATGTTTATCACCCCTAATTGTACCCATTCCCTACCTCAATCTTATAGCCAGTTGCAGTTACAGTACAATGGGTCCATCCCAAACAGGCCTGGTTCTCATACGTTAGTTTTCCCTCCCATCGGACAATCCCACCTCCTCCAACACCAACCTCGGCAACTGGGAAACCCTGGACTCCTCCGGCACGGGCACACCTTTTGCATCCACCTCCACCTCCACCTCCACCTCCACCCTTCGCCAACCCCAACCAACCAACCCCAATCCCAAGTCTCCAGCCCAGTACATACAGACATATATACATACATATCCAGACCATTCGTTCGTTCCTATCTTGTATCTTCCTTTCTGATATCCTTGGTCCAGAAAATCGCATGCAGATTTGATTCAGAAGGCAATGCGCCCCTCCTCCCGCCTCTACCTCCGCCTTCAGCTCAATTTCAGTCACCGAATATCATATTCCCATCCTCAATCCTTCTGCAAAAGATTTCTGACCACGATGCCGCGGCTGAACCCCGTTTCTCAGGTACTGTCCCTTCCCCCATTCACCATTCACCCAATGAGACAATTCCCCCATTCCCCGAAAGGATATCAGAGAAATACCAAATCCCCAGTTCAGCATCCCATTGGTCTCCCCGGTGCTACCACACGCGCAAAGAGGACAGTTGGAAGGAGGAGATGACGTAACACAACCCTACTTCCACCCTCAACCTTTTTACTGTCAATGGCCCAGAACACACAGAAGAGAAGCCCAATGCTTGGACATTGAGGATCACACAACATACTCAGTACGATTTATAAGTCTGTCTTCATGGCTGATCAAATTTACTTTCCTGTGGATGAGAGTAGGCTGCCATCGACAGACTCAGACAGTATGCGCCGCCGCCGACGAACTACGACCTCGCTCCGCTGTCCCGGCGCGCGGCGGTCTTGGTGCTGCTGTACGCGGACCGGGAGGGGGCGTTGAGGGTGGTTTTGACGATGAGAGCGAAGACGTTGAGTTCTTGTATTGATTGACCTTCCCCTGTATCTTGGACTTCGGGGAGCGCTGGCTGAGTCTGATGCTGATGATGACGGGTTTTTGACGAGTAGATGCTGGACAGGCTGCGTTACCGGGTGGTGAGTACATGTCCATTTCCTTGCTTGACTCTTTATGGATCGAGAGCTGATTCACTACAACCAAGGCCGCGCCGATTCTCTGGCCGAAACACCCTTTCAGACGGCCCGCCGCGAGGCCTACGAAGAGATCGGTCTACCGCAGGAGGACAGCAGTCTGCCCCGGCCCTTTCGCGTGGAGCATCTCTGCGAATTGCCGGCGAACCTCGCCCGGACGGAGCTGGTGGTCCGGCCGTGTGTGGCGTTGCTGCATTCCTACGACGAGGCCACGGCCGAGAACGCCGACCCCGAGGTGTCGTTGATTCCCCGGTTAAATGCCAAGGAGGTGGCGGCGGTGTTTACCGCCCCATTCCAGGATTTCCTGCGCATCAAGGGTGAGACAGATCCCGAGTGGTATCGGGGATCGTGGACGGAGTGGCATGAGAGTCGGTGGCGAAGTAAGCTTTGTCTTCCCTATTTCTTCTGCGACTTTTGTCTGGAGGAATGGCCCTAAGAGATGTGCTTGCGATGGCGCTAACGCAAACCTCCTACCAAAAAGTGCATCAATTCTTCGTTCCAGTTCGTTCGGAGGAAGTAGTCAAGCCGAAGAATGCGAACGAAGAACAGCAACACCTCCTCAGTCAGCTTGAAAAGCAGAAGAACGAATCCGCGGCGGCGCGGTACCGGGTCTGGGGCATGACCGCTCGGATGATGGTGGATGTGGCGCGAGTCGCGTATGCACAGGAACCAGAGTTCGAACATAACAGCCACTTTGGGGACGAGGCGATGATCTCACGCCTGCTGAAGGTGGGCCGCTTGAGCGCTGTCCGGAAAAAGGGGGATCAGTTGACCAAGGAGGACATGAAGTTGGCTGCTAAGCTCAGTTGAGAGCTGCCATCCCCCTGCATATATTATGATGACACATGACGAATTGCATGAGAACAAGACGCAAGTCCGGTCGAATAGACGGCTGATGATGTTACCAGCATAAGTGGCTAAGCATCAATCCCACATAGCAAACATTTCTGAAGCCCCGTAAGCTTAGCCCAACAGAGCAACTTCGCCTGGTTATCTTGCCCACGGGCTAGGATGCATGGACGAGGAGCTGAAGATCATTGACGGGGATGATTTGGGATTCTGATCCCGCTCGAAATTATAGCAAGGTAGCGTGCTGCAGAACTCAACATTGGGGCTGTTGGGGCGACACAGATGAAATAGCACTAGCTGGCATCCATGCTCATAACGTAGGCTACCAAGCGCAGCAGACCATCCTAGAGGCTCAAGAGCCCACACCAAACCAAATCTCAAGGTATGGTCAGTGATG